TAATTTTTTTGCATAAACCTTAAAATATTTTCTTTAATAATCGTACGTAACCCTTTAATTAAAGTAGTTTAATTCTGAATAATCTTTCCTTAAAATAGCTTCCGTATGATATTAAATATTAAATAAAAGATACTCTCGAAATTGAAATTTTAGGTAAATGCGACCATGTGTTTTAAACGTGAATCTTTCAAGTTAATTTTCGCGTACACTCGCTTCTTAACTATAAATCAGAAACGAATTATAATGTTTTTCATTCGCAAATATTCGTGAATATACTTATTAATGAATATACAGTGAATATACAAAGTTCTTCCACATATTTATACATTATATCCTTTATACTTATCTTTATATTTATATTTATATTTATATCCTTAGAAATATTTAATTATTAACTCAGCCATGATAATAGTTCAATAATCGGACCAACGTTCGACTAAATCTTGAATGCCTCGATTTTCAGATGTCACTTTTCCACACAGAAACGTAAAGATAAAGCGCCTTAAGGTATTTAAATGGCAGCGTATCTCTAGATGACTTGAGAGTTACGATTGTAAGCGACATTGGCTTTCAAGTTGAAACTCGCACGAATTCGTGGGGGTTACCTGCTTCCGGGGGTACCGAGTAAACACGTCCGCCTCGATGAGATTACCTGTTGATGATTCACGCCGACAAACATCTTCGAGAAGATATGCGTGTCTGGGCTTATGAACTTTGGTTCTTTTTATTTTTATTTTTTTTTTTTTATTTTTTTTTTTTTTTTTCAAGAATCGTAGGTGAGGCTTATATAAATGCTGATAATTAAAACAAATACCATCTGTATATATTTCGTAAAATCAGCTTTATCGTGAAATTTGTATTAAAAATTACTTCGTTTGACTAGATAACGAGAACTGTAGTTAACAATTTTTGTGTTAACACGATCGTAAAACTGTATCGACGGCTCGTTTAAGTAAATTTGTATAAACATCTAAGTTTTCGCTGTTTGATCAAAGTTTAAGACGATGTACAATGTACCGCCTATTTTTACGCTCAGAAAAAATATTAAGCTACCGGTAGATAATTGCAAATACAGACATGAATTTTAATTTCATATAAACATAACGGAATATAAAATTGTTCATTAGTTTTGTCAAATCTTGATTTATGCGACGCACTACTGGAACAATAATAAAAAAAAAACCGAAGAAGAAGAAGAAGAAGAAGCAGAAGAAAAAGAAGGAGAAAAAGAAGAGGTAGAATAAGAAGAAGAAGAAGAAGAAGAAGAATAAGAGGGAAAAAAAGAAAAGACATTAATAATTATTATTTGCGTAGGGCGGGGTGAGGGACAAGAGGGAAACTCATCTGATTAAAATAACATGATAATTGTAAATCGAAAAAATATTCGTCCGAGCAGTACAATGAAAATTTAAAAGACGCGAGATTTTCTTCGCTTATCGTTCGTAGTATACTATATTAGGATTAATCATAAATCATAATGTTAGAATTAATCACAACAAAATATTTAGTCGATACTGTGCAATAAATTTGAATGGAAGCGCACATTTGTAACAAAGGTAAGAGCGTCTATTCATAAGCAATATTTACAGTACTCAAACAATAATATTATCAGGTGCGTGTAGAACAATTTCCCAAAACCATAAAAAGAAGGTATTATAATACATGTTTACCAATTGAAAATATATTACACTAAACAACGCGAACTCGTTGGAACTAGTTATTGCCATTGTTTACTTACTCAAGCACCAATAGTCACCTTAAACAATCTTAATATTGTCGTAGTTCGAGGGCAGATGAGCCAAAACATCATAATTAAAAAATCGTCCGAAATCATGAAAAAAGTCAACGGCTTCCGGTCCAGGCGCACGTGTGCCGTTGATCGGGGCCACGGGTGTGCCGGAGGCCAACTGCCCCTTCCTGCGATCTTATCGGAGGAAACGCGTCGATACGCGACTTAATCAAGGTCACGGACTTTTCCCGGAGGCTTTCGGCCTACCGCTAAATACTCCGGCACCGAGTTTTCCGACAAGAAACGGAGGGAGAAAGAAAAAAAGAGAATGTTGGCTCGTGTTATCGCGACGCGTGGCGCTCTAATCTGTAAACTCACCAATGCAATTGCGCGCGCGTGTATGTTGTTGCTGAGAGAAGTGGAAGTGAAAAGCTAAGCAAAATAAGATGGAGAGAAAGAGACGGGAATGCAAATAGGAAAGGGAAAGTCACAAAGCTATAAATGCATTCGAGCGGGCAGACTGGAGGAAAGAGGAGATTGGAGGGAGGGAGAGACAGGGGGAGAGAGAGAGAGAGAGAGAGAGAGAAATATACATAGATAGAGAAAAATAGATAGATAGATAGATATGTACAGAGAGAGAGAGAGAGAGAGAGAGAGAAATATACATAGATAGAGAAAAATAGATAGATAGATAGATATGTACAGAGAGAGAGAGAGAGAGAGAGAGAGTGCTTGTGCGTGTGCACGCGCGCACGTCGATACAATATGAACTATAGTGGATATCGATAAGTTTCTCGCTGACTATTTAGGCACATTGCAATGGAATAAATTCTTTGTTCGATGCGTAGAATATTTTAAAAAATTAGGCGGATGAATGGCTTGGTTGCAACGGCAAATGAAAAATGATTTCTTATGCATGTTCGTGTTTCATTTATATGTGCATATGCTTCGGCTGTTTTTAAGAGCATCGACTATTTAAATTCGTCGTTGCGTGGTAAATTAATTTATTCGCACACACTTCTGCAAAAAGGTGAAGCGTTGAGAAAGAAAAAAACAATCGCGAGCCAACGAAAATTGCTATAAAAATAAAAAGAAATAAACAAATTATAGAGTCCGGATTATTTTTTTATTTTCTTTTTTCTTTAGGAATATTCAACATAAGCAGACACACAGTTGAATCATTAATACGATGAAAATTTCGCAGGAAAAGTGTGGTTCATTCTATAAAATAAATCATATAACGAATTAAGAGTAAATTGCGTTGCTTCACTTGAATCTCGCCGAGACCTGGACGTGACCGAAAAGTGCGCTTAGACAATCAATGAGGCGTAAACGTAGAAACAATTATCCAAGTATGCGGCGAGTATGTGATCAAAATGAGACAAAATAATGAAAAAAAAAAAAAAAAGAGAGAGAAGAACGTAAGGAATGTAGAGTAGATAGATAAGGAGTGCGATAAATGTCGTAGAAAGCCCATCGAGAGGCGCACGTGTGAAAAGCAAGAGTGATTGCGGCAGAGTGGCGGTGGGGAGTGAGAAGGTAAGGAGGAGACTGAGGAGGCGAAGCAGGTAAATAAAGAAAAAAAGATGTATACACTCGTACGCGAGCGCGCGTAGATACACGGGCGCATGCATATATGCAGGTGCGCGCGTGCGTGTGCGTACGCATGCACACGATGAGCCACCTACAGCTCAAGAGAGCAGTACAGTGCGGCGACGGCGACGGCGACGGCTGCGGCGGGGCGGGGGGGGGGGGGGGGGGGGGCGGCTTTTCTTTTTCGTTTTTTTTTTCT